ATTCTGTGTCTCCTCTCTCTCTGCCCCTCCCCTGCTTGTTCTCTTTCTCACTCTCTCTCTCTCTCTCTCTCTCCCTCTCTCATAAAAATAAATAAACGTTAGAAATTTTTTTGAAATAAAGGTGATTTATTTGAAATAAATTTATTTTTTTAAGTTATTTATTTTGAGAGAGCACACGCACATAAGCAGGATGGGGGGTGGGCAGCCAGAGAGAAGGAGAGAGAGAGAATCCTAAGCAGGCTGTCCACAGTCAGCACACAGAGCCCGATGTGGGGCTCAAGCTCATGACCTGGGCCAGAATCAAGAGTCAGATACTTAACCGACTGAGCCACCCAGGTGCCCCTAAAATAAGTTTACTTTATAGTGAAGCTATATGTCCTGCATAGTCAGCTGTATTAGTTGGTTGGGATTACTATAACAAAATACCACAAACTGAATATGCCTTAAACAGCAAAAACTTATTTTCTCACAGTGTTAGAGGCTACATGTCTGAGATGAAGAGGTCTGCACTTTTGGTTTCTTCTGAGGCTCCTCTCCTTGGCTTGTTGACCTTCTCGTTCACATGGTATTCCCCTCTGTGCCTGTGTCCTAATCTCCTCCTCTTCTTCTTTTTTTTTTAAGTTTATTTATTTATTTTGAGAGAGAGAGAGAGAGAAAGAATCCCAAGCAGGCTCCCCAGTGTCAGCTCAGAGCTTGAACCCATGAATAGCCAGACCACCCAGGTGCCCCTAATTTCCTTTTCTTATACAGACACCAGTCAATATTGCATTCGGGCCCACCTTAATGAATTTATTTCAACTTAATTACCTCTTTAAAGACCCTACTTCCAAATAGTCACATTCTGAGATGTTAGGGGCTAAGAATTCAACATATGAAATTTGGGAGGGCACATTTCAGCCCATAACACTGAGTTTGTCTTCTCCCCTCCCTCCGTTCTTGTGTATATTGAGCACCCAGTGTGTGGCAGACATTCTGCTAACTGGTGGGAATAGTAAGCAACAGATGTAGTCTCTGCGTACAGTGAGGTAGGGAAGACAGATATTTATAAAGTAATAACAAGTGTCTTGCAGATATTATGCCTGGGTAATGGGAATGACAGGAAAGCCTTGCCCTTCCCCTCAGGCCCCAGACCTGGTCGGGCGGGTGAAAGGGCCAAGTTAAAACTAGCTGTGAGATTAGTTAATGAGTCAGCAGCTCAAACCCAGAGACACGGGTTTGTCACAAAGCAGCAGGGAGGTCTGATGTCAGCCAGCAGCGGGCGCTAACTGAATCCGTCCTTTAATATGACGCCTGGGCCCCGCCCACTCCCTCCGTGACTCCTTCTCCTCCCCGCTCATGGCCCCGCCCCCTGCGTGTTTCTGCGAACTACCGCGAACGCTTCAAAAGCGCGTCACCCTCCGCCCTAACAAAGGGGGTCAGTCGGCCACGCCTGCGCCATAGGGCCGGAGAGGTGGGGGCGGGCCAGCCGGCGTTGGGAGGCGGGGAAAAGTGACGCAAGCAGTCGCGACGCCATTTGCTGCGGCTGAGCGTGGGCGCAGGCGGATCTCGGAAGAAGTCGGTTGCGAGACTCTCCCGCGCACGCGACCCGGCCTCGCTTGCCTGTTTGGTACCGCGCGGTCTCACGCGTCGCCCTTGGGGCCCCTCGGAAGAGTCGCTGCTGCCGCCGCCACCACCACCACCACTCGGATAGGAGTCGGAAACGCCGGGAGGCCGCCGTCACCGCCATGCCCAAGAATAAAGGTAATGCTGCCTTGGACCCCGGGACCACGACTCCGGTCGGCCCGGTCCTGTCCGCGGCGCCCCGTATTGCCCAGGCCGCAGTGACCTTACACTCCTCTCTGCCTGCAGGCGGCTGGACGATCCACACGCGGTTTGGGGCTTGGGAAAGGAGCTGAGAAGTTACTCTTGTGTACCAGTTTGGTCACATTGGGGTGGAGCCGACGCCATTTTTGTAGGGCCTCCTGCGGGAGAATGTGGGCTTTTGCTCCCGATTCGCGCCAGACTGACCGCGGCGCTTTATGGACCCGTGGGGAGACCTCTCCCGGGCGGCCAGGGTTTCACAAATGGGAGCCTTTGGCCTTCCTGGGCAACGAGAGTTAAGCCCTGGAAGCAGTTCTGAACTTTGAAAGAGTAATGCCTGCTTTAGTGATCAGGTACTCCTGCATGGGTTTCTTAATAGTTGAGTGTTTTTGAGACTACTCCCTCTCCCTTTTTCACAGTGAATGAAACCTTAATGCGTATTTACATATTTAGGGTTCATGTCTAGAGATTTACTCTTCCCCATCCCTTTACGGCGTTTACCTTTTTTTTTTTTGGAACACTTTCATATTTAACCAGGTTTTCTTATTTTTGCTTCAGATCTTGCATATATTGTATTAGGAGTAAAGACCTTTAAGTTTTCTCCATTCTGAGGCTAAACGTCCACAAATTATCAGTCTTGAAGATGTTTATTTGGAATTTACAAAATGGAAGGCCTAATCTACCTAAAAGCGGAAGAGTCTTAAAGAAATTATCCCCTTTTTTAGACTTCAGGAGACTTCTGTTTTTTTAAGTATCTTTATAATTTCTCCAAGGAAATTGTGCCAGTAGAAACAGGGAAATCATTGTGTTTCCCTCAGGAGAGGAGCATATTACACAACCCACGGGAAGTTTCCTTTGGTTATTAATCCTTCAGACCCTTGCCTGGACCCAGGCCTACTTCTGTTCTCTTTTCTACTTCACAGACGGCTCCAGGGATTCTACCTGATTTCCTCTTTGTCTCTGTGGCTACTCATTTTATCCCTTGGGGTACTTGCTTGCAGTTCTGTGCAAGATTTGGTGTGGTTATCTCAAAATGTAGCTTGCAGACCCTTTTTGTAGCATTTTACTGTTAATTTTTCTGGGGTAACCTAATGTCTTATTTCCTCTTAGATGGTAATTGGATCACCTTAGTAAGTATCTTATTCTCCCTTTTATTTCTAGTGAGGAGGCTTCCAATTCCCTCACTAGATTGTAAGCTATAATAGACAGTAATGGGATCTGTCTTAATCACATGGAATTGCTAGCACTTGACACTTAGTAGATGCTCAATAAATACTTGTTGGATTAAGTCACCTTCCTTTTGTTGACTTCACTCTCGGATGAATAATAATAGGTTCTACGGGAACAGGACTTCTGCATTAAACTTATACATTAAATCACATCTAATTCACTAGCCTCCTTTAAAGTTGTATTCCATTACATGGCAGTAAAATAGGGGAGTGATCAGGGTATGGTTAGTTCTGATGAATTGGCAAGCAATAGATCATTCTTTATAAATAATATTTGAAGCGTACGAAAAATATAACAATATAGTGAACACCTGGGAATCCATTATTCTGAACTTGAGAAATTAAAACACAAGATCAGTTAAAACCCTTTGTCTCTTCCCCTGTCTTCCTGTTTCTGGAGGTAACCGCCTTTCTGAATTTGGTGTTTATCATTCCATTACATGTAAAACCAATCTGTTACCTTAGAGGAACAGTGCTTTCTAAGACCCCTGGATTTTATAAGATGAGGTTTACTAATGCAGAAATAAATTCATGGGGGTTTTTTTGTTTGTTTTTCTTTATTGGAAGAGCCAGAAGTCTTCTGAATACAATCTTGGTGGTGATTTCACAAGGATATAAATTGCCATGAACTGTGTGTTGAATGAGTTTTGCTTTGGACTGATTGTTACCAGGTTATTTCCTCTAGAATCCTCTAGATTCTTTAAGCTTATTACCTCAGAAAAAAAGGGTATCCTTTGGTCCACTCATGACGACCATTTGGGGTAAGGTGCTCCCACACTTTGAGGAAGTTACTGCCTTTAATTTTAAAACTGCCCCTCCTTTAGGAATGTATAGACTACCCTTGACCGATTCATTCAAAGAATTGCCCAGCTCTGTATATAATAACTCAGTAAACAAAGCCAGTAAGATCCTTGCCCTAAAGGAGCTTTCACTCTAGTTTGAAGATCTGGCTTGAATGATTAATGGCTTGAAGCCAGAGATAACTTTACTCTTCCTAGGAAAGCAGTTTGGGTTTCCCTGAAGAATGCCTCACATACTGAACTCTAAGGAGTCTGGGTGGGTCAGGATATAGAGGTCCACCTGACAATAGCACAAAGCATTATGAGACTGCCCCTAGGACTCATTAAGTGCACTGGATTCTAGAAGTTAATGTGTCTGTCTTTGCAGTGGCCAGGTGCACATTCATTATTTTGTTTGGACTATGAACCTTTTGCTGCTTCCAGGTTCTTTCCATGAGTTCTTTAGTATCACTACCACTTACAGTCTTTCTCCTACCTTTTGAAAATGGCCATCAATGTGGTTTAGTAGGTTCTGGAATGGGAACAAAATGCTGTGGAGAGAGACCCTAATATGAGGGTCAGGAACAAAAAGATCAGGTTTGAGTCTCTTCACCCACACACCCTGAAATAATAAATGAGTTAATTGTCTGATCTTCAGTGAACTCCCTGGTAAACTGGGGATAAATGTTATTACTTCATAGGGTGATTATGACAAGTAAATGGGTGACTTTATCATATAGTGGTTAAGAGTATAGTTAAGTGGGGACATACTGCTCACTTCAAATCCCAGATCTCACTTCATGTGATCTCGCCTTGGATAAGTCACTTAACCTTTCGAAGACTATCATCTCTTGTGAAATAAAGACAAAATAGTACCTGTCTCATAGGCATAGTTTGGGCATAGTAACTTAAGGGTAAGTTACTGGGACAGTGAGAAATCTGCTTGGATTGAAGTATAAGATAGTGGAAGGGAAGTATTGAGAGGTAGGCTGGCTTGTTTATAGGTTGAGAGATTTATGTTCCATAAGGTGATCATGTTACCACTAACAGGAACGGGAGTGTTGATTAAGGACCAGCTTTGTAAAGAAAAAATGAGTTTTGAATAAAATCTTGAGCTTGAGATGACAGTAGCCCATTCACTGGACCCATTGTAAATATGAAACCAATGCTTAGTTGAAGTAGAGGGCTGAGATAGAAAATTAGCATAGAAGTGATAGGTAAGAGAAAATTTAATTTCCTTAGAAAGTGGGTTAGCAGATGGTGGGACTTTGGAATTAATGAAGCTCCAGAGGAATAGGCATAATGTGGGGTGGGGGGCTGGTAAAGATCCAGAATAGTGCAAGTGGTGGCGCACCTGGGTGGCTCAGTTGGTTTAGCATCCAACTCTTGATTTCTGCTCAGGTCATGATCTCACAGTTCATGGGTTTGAGCCCCAGGTGAGCCCCATGGAGCCTGCTTGGGATTGTCTCTTTCTCTCTCAAAATATATAAACTTTTAAAATAGTGCAAGTGGCCCTCTAAGAAAAAAAGAGAGTCGGGAAATGATCGGTATTATCATTGAAAGTATGAAAAACAAAGGGAGAGGGAGAATTACGGTTTTTTTTTAAGGATATCAGGAGATAGAAGAATCTCGAATTCTAAACGGTAGAAGCAAGGTGGAGGTGTTTACATCTTCTGTTCTAACTCCCTCATTTTACGTAGTCTGAGATCCTGAGAAGTTTTTTGTGAAAGCTCCATTCATCCTTTGCTTTTCCCTCCCTCTACATCTGGTCATAATTCTCTTGTTTCCATCTCAGAAATATTGTTCCTGTTTGTCTCTTCTTTATGGCTAGGTTAGGCCTGCTTCTTGGTACCTGTAATAAGGACAGTAACCTTTTACCAGTTTTCCCACCTAAAGTATCATATACCTCTGCTTTTGGTTGAACTATTTTTTTTTTTTTTAATTTTTGAATAGTAAATACATTCGCAATTCAAATTTCAAAATGTGAAAAGTGCAGTCTCTTTCTAGACTGTTGCCAAACAGTTCTCACAGGCGGTCATTGTTAAGTTTTTTGCATATGCCTTTCCTGGAGTATTTTATGTATATACAAGCAAATATGAATATGCATTTTTCTTTTTTTACACCAGTGGTAGCCTTCTACTCTTCTTCACCTTGTATTCATTTTTAAATTTACATTTTGAAGAATTTTGAATATATACATATGTACAAAAGTATACTAGTATAATATACATTTAGGTAGTTACCTCCTGGCTCCAGACACAGTTCACAACTAAACTTGCACCAGCACCATCCACACCAAATCAGGATCCACATTTGGTCTACACCTTGCTATTGGTAGATAATGTCTTTTAAGTCTGTTAAAAAATCTTTAAGTTCCCCATCTATCTGATTCTCCCCCCTCTCCCCCATAAGGTATCTAGTGAGGGAAACAAATTGTCTTCCTTTGCCCCCACTGTCTGGATTTTGCTGATTTCATCCCTGTATTAGAGAGTGCGCTTGCTTGAAAGCAAGGGAGAGGGGCAGAGAAGAGAGAATCTTAAGCAGGCTTCATGCTCAGCACGATCCCACAACCTTAGTGATGAAATTTGAAGTGGGGTTCATGAGCAAACGGCTAAGAAAGAATTCTTCAGATGTCTTTGTGCAAAAAGGTGATTTTATTATAACACGGGGGACAGGATCCGTGGGCAGAAAGAGCTGTGCTGGGATTGTGAGGAGCGACTGATGATACACTTTTAAGTTTGTGGAGGCAGTGGGCGGGGGGATAGAGATAGTTTCTAAGGAATTTCTGTATGCTGAAAGCAGAGTCTTATAGAACCCTGAAGATTTAGCTATTGTCAAGATAAGGTTGCATTTAGTTTTGGGTTTTTTTTTTTTTTCTTAATGTTTATTTTTGAGAGAGAAAGACAGTGTGACTTGGGAAGGGGCAGAGAGAGAGGAAGACACAGAATTCGAAGCAGGCTCAGTCTCTGAGCTGTTTGCACAGAGCCCTATGTGGGGCTTTAACCTATGAACCTGGAGATCATGATCTGAGCCGAAGTTGGATACTAATCAGACGCTCAACTGAGCCATTCAGGCGCTCCAGTTGCTTTGGGTGTTTCATATCATGTAAACATTTATCGACATTAAGGCAGCCATAAACTCCTTGTGGAATGTTACATGCTGCAGGTCTCTGGTATCTATCAGAGTGGGCTGTAAGCTGTAAGGGGATTTAATTTAAACTACATTTTTCTGGGGCGCCTGGGTGGCTCAGTCGGTTAAGCGTCCGACTTCAGCTCAGGTCACGATCTCACAGTCCGTGAGTTCGAGCCCCGCGTCGGGCTCTGGGCTGATGATGGCCCAGAGCCTGGAGCCTGCTTCCGATTCTGTGTCTCCCTCTCTTTCTGACCCTCCCCCGTTCATGCTCTGTCTCTGTCTCAAAAATAAATAAACGTTAAAAAAAAATTTAAAAAAATAAAAAAATAAACTATATTTTTCTTGCCTTTGTTTCCCTCATCAGTGGTATCATGACCTGAGCCAAAATCAAGAGTTGATGCTCAACTGACTGAGCCACCCAGATGCCCCTGTTTTTTAATGGACTTTGTTTTTAGAGCAGTTTTACATTTGTAGAGAAATGAACAGAAAGTAGAATTCTCATATTCCCCCCCAGCATGTTGTTAACATGAGCCAGTATATGTATTAGTAGGATCTGGCCTTTGATTTCTCCCAACCAGCCCAGCCAAGTCCATAGATTACATTAACATTAAGGTTCATTCCTTATGCTGTATATTGCGTGAGTTTTGGCATATGTATAGTGACATGTATCCACCATTACACTATCATACAGAATAATAATTTCACTGCCCTGAAAACATTCCATTGTGTAGATGTACCACAGTTTATCCATTTGCCTACTGAAGGACATCTTGGTTGCTTCCAAGTTCAGGCAGTAGTAACTTGCTTTTTTAACTTCAAATACTTGGCTCATTGAATCTTTGCTACAGCTATAAGGTAGAATTCAAATTCTGAAGGTAGCCAGAGTTGTTCTCCCTCCACAACAAAATCAGTATATCCCATTCCAGGAGCTGTAACTTGACCCCCTCACCTCCAGTCATCCTAATTGAACTCAGACCTTTCGTGGGGAAGTCTGGTAAAAGGGGTGGGGGACTATTTATTTATTTATTTATTTAGAAATCTATCAGTAACTCATTATAATATCTTCCACCCTGGCCTTTGTGGGCACCTGTGGGAGGGGTTCATTGAGCAGTGTGCTCAACCAGTGGTCATTATGATCTAGGAATTTTGGTCATTGAATGCAGATGTCCTCAGGGATCTATGTACTTTTATATAATATCTGCTTGCAGTTTGTAGTTTATGACAGAAATAACCCAAAAGGAATTTCCAAGAAGGGTAGGGGAGTAATGCTATGTGTGTGTTTAGTATGATCGGAGATTGTAAATTTAATATGATTGTGTGCCCACATTAAGTGAATTTTTAAATGTAAGTGGTTTTTTAAAAGCGTGTTGTGAGTCATTTAGTTTCTTTCCTATTTTGCAAATAATTAATGTCTTTTTCTTTCTTTAAAACCATTAGGTAAAGGAGGTAAAAATAGACGCAGAGGTAAGAATGAGAATGAATCTGAAAAGAGAGAGCTGGTGTTTAAAGAAGATGGACAGGGTAAGCGTTTCTATAAGTGAGGGGTTTTTTTTAGTAATAGTTTTCTTTTTTAAAATAGGGAATTTTCAGTTTCTAAACATAAAAGATATAACTTTGTAATCCTGAGCAATAAAATCATGTGTTCCTCTTTGTCCTCCATTTCTCACCACCCCCCCCCCC